AAAAAAAAGCCAATACTTACAGTATCAGTAGCACCAACATTTTGTTTTTTGAATCGGCATGTATCATCAACAGCTTCATATGGATAACTTTTTTCGGTATCAATACCTTTGTTAGCTTTGATGTATTCAAAAGCTTGATCCATTAAACCACCATCACATCCCAAATTACCAAATTTGCCTGAGCAATCAACCAAGTTTTGTTCAGAAAGCGAAACAAGTTTCTGTGTTTTAGCAAAGTGTTGACCTTCAAGTGAACCAGTAGCTGAGAAAGCCCAACATGATCCACATTGTCCTTGATCTTTAATTGGTGTTACATAACCTTTTGTACGCCAATCTATTAAAGAAAAAAAACATTTTATAATAATAGTTTATGTATTTCAAAAGAAATCAATATAAGAATAACATACCAACAGAATCTGGAAGGACAACATTTGATGGAGCTAAGAATGTATGATGATCAAATTCTGATGTATCAGTTCGAGTTGACATTTTGAATCCATTCATTTGTTTTTTGAATTCTTCATGAGTCTAAATAAGTGAACTTTCTATATTATGATATTTCATGGTGTAAAACAGAAATATATTACCATATCACCGAATCGATTCATTCCTAAAGTGTAGGTGTGTAAGTCTAAATCAGCTTCAAGATTGTGTTTGTGAATTTTAGCAAGGTTAGCTTCCCAAATTGTTCGGCTAGAAAAAAAGAGAAAAAATATAATTTTATAAATGAAAAATAGTTGAACTGTATTGATTAACATACCGATTAGCTTCTTCTTCAACTGAATTGTATTGTTTTCCATACGTACGTTTGAATAACGTCCATTCATCATCATATACCGGTGCACAATAAGCACCAACGAAGAGAACACAAAGTGCGATGACTACTTTCATTGCTAGTACTGTTGCTTATCGATAAAATTTGACTTGATGAGAGTGAAGAAGTTATATGCATTTATATAGGTGTTAAAAGTTTCGCGTGGTCATGATGCTTTGCAAAGATAAAAGTTTAAATTTGCTATATCACTTGAGAAGGGCATAATTATTTGACTTACGTCGCATGACATAAAAAGAAAAGGAATCTCACTTATCTTTCGATTAGTCTTGCTCATGAAGTTGTTATAAGGATAAATGATGGTAAAGAGAACAGATGGTCATGTAGACTTTTACTGCATCATGTGATGTATCAAGGCTGTAGCTTATCTCATACAAGGTTCTTTCACACGAACAATTATGAAATCTATCATGATATTTTAGACGTCGTTGAAACTGCACTAATCGAATATGAAGTGATGGAAAACAAATCCAGTTGATGAGTGTCATATGATAATAGTTGTAATGTGTTACGATGAGTATAATGGTTTTGAGAAAAGTCCTTTGAACAGCATCTTCTATCAGGAAACAAGTGTTTAGCACATATTACATTAAGCAATTCGAAATTTGAGTCACATAAAATCTCTCGACAAAAATATTTAAGACAATTTTCGAAAAAATACGTCGTTTATTTTTTTTTCAATTTTGATTTAACTTTTAATTGAATGTAGAACATATATTGTGTTGATGAAAAAAAGAGCAGCAACAACGTTTAAGCTCCTGTACACAGTGTAGTGAATATTTAATGATTTCTCCAATTAAATATGAAATAATTATTAACAATTTTCTTGTAGTTTGTTAAGCCTTCATGGAAAAAATTAGATACAAAAGTAACATGAATTTTTTTTTATTTAGTAAGGAGACTATTACATTTGGAATAAGATGGTTATGAAAGGTCAATAATTAATAACGTGTTTCATTGGTTGTTTAGTTTTATCAGGGTTCGTAAGTACTATCATCGCGTCTTTTTTTTTCTAATGTGACTGTCATTGTTGGAATAAACGATAATATGAGTAGTTTATGTTCCGTTATCTTATCAGAGTGTGCACAATATTGCGAGAAGAAATGAATCAACCTTATCACAATGACGGTGTCTATTGCTTCATATAGAATCTACAATTCACTAGTTTCTTTATACTGTAGCAAGTTATAGTCGATTGTAATTGGACAAAATAAAAAATCTAATTTAATTTTAGTTAGATTTTACTTGAACATAGATGGATTGAACAACGTAATTCTGATGATATTTTTCCACACAATGATTGTTTAGTAGTGTGTTACTCAAGAATTATTTCAATTGTGAAAAAAACAAAGATCAACTGCTTTTGTTTTCTGCCATATTCTGTACTATATGATTCGTCTTAGTCATAAATAATGAAGTTAGTTTACTGTGTAGTTGTGTCCATCGACATATTCAAAAATGAATAAAAAAATATATCAGACTATTTACTAAGACATATTAAATTCAATAAAATACAAATTTTTTTCCACTAAATAATATACGATAAAGTATTTTTGTGCAACAAGACATATTTTGGCTTCAAAACTTGTATATAATCAAACCTTGACGGACAACACTATCTATACTACTGATATTATTTGTGTTCTAACAAGAAGAATTATTTTTAAAAAGTGAAAATTTCATAACGAATATCAAATGTGTCGTGTAATGATGTATGCAGAAAAAACTTGTAGGGCCTTAGGATCCTTTCTTATATTTGTACAAAGAGCGAGAATCACATCTGTCCACTCCTTGAGAGGGAGTTCAAGCCTTTTATAAGCGAACCTTAACAGTTTGTAGATAGAGAAGCTAAGCCCATTTAGCCAGCTTGGTTATGCCAATAGCGTCGTTGTCTATGATATTACAGAAGCAGATAATAAAGATATGTTTCTCTTCAATATTTCTTATTTTGTTATCTTTTTCAACTATTGATGGTCATGCAGCGATAACAGTGTACCGACATAACAATGTCGTTGATTGGGCGGGCAACTGAATTCACTTTAGTATGTTTCTTTCCAAAAACTAAATTGATTTATCTCGTAGTAGTACTTCCCAGAAAGATAAAGTGTGTACGAAACACCTTGCATTTAGAAAAAGCGTATTATTTCTAATAGAACGAAGTAGATGTCACTACCTCCAGTATATCAATTTGAAATAAGTGTATCTCTTAAGATATTTTCTTCTAAGTACTTTCAAACTTTGTCATCCGAACAGACCATTGCTGATACAAAAAAAAATCAAGTTATAAAATATTTAAAAATTAGTCAAGAATATTCGTATGCATATAATGTGGTATCTAAATGTAACAAGTCGACTTGTTCTATGTTAATTAAAGGTATGAGCTATAGAAGATGAAGGGTGACAGTCTTTTGGATGATTCGACTTGTCAATAGAACTACTAATCTGCATCTTCGATAACTTAGAACTTTAACTACCATCGAACAAATTGACTTGTTGTGTTGTGATATAAGTTCAACCGTATCCGAATATTTTTCATTAACTATTATTTATTGTACCATTTAACTTCATTTTTTCGGTGAGCAATAATATGTGCGGATGATAAAAATGAAACTATTTGAAAGAAAAAAAAATTTTATAAGCGACAAACTTTTGCCAACTCACCATACGATAGAATCGACATCTGTAAAGTTTTGTGAGGAAAACATTGAATCTCATTATAAGAACCAATTCATTTATCTTTTTGCGATCTTAAAAGATATTATTCGAGTGCAAAATAGTTTATTTTATGAAAGAAAGTTTTCAAATGAGTTCGAGTTATTCGAATAATTAGTAATGTTGACAATGAGACGTAAATTACTATTACTTTTACGTACAAAGTAAGAAATAAAAGAACAGTTTGTATATTCAAGTAAGTAGACTGTAACAGTTAAATTATACAAGTACAAAATAATAAAGGAAAAACAAATAATGATGAATAATATCTGCATTTTAAGCTCATGTAATATAATTACACGTACGTTAAACCTACCGTTGATACAATCTTAAATATAACATTGGCAGATATCAAAACAAATAGCATATTCCATGAATACAAAACGTGTATAAATATTGTTTTTTTCATGTCACTTACGTATGTATTTAATATTGTCGGTGAACTCATCAATATTTTGTCCAATATGCGGTTGGTTATTAAAACAGCAAAATGAGCGAAAAATATTTGGAATTCTGTAAAAGATCTTCGACTTACATTTGCTGATTATCTGGTATGAATTGTTTCAAGATCGGATGATGATCAAAATGATGGAAAAGACCCGTTATCAAATATTCATAATTCATATGATTTAGTCGTTGATATTACCCGATGTAAAAAAAAAGTGACAAAAAACAACTTGAAAGTACTTTTAATATTAATAAAGTCAAAAAAAGTAACGTTTCCTACTTTTTTCATTTTAAGAAGTACTTGATAGTACCTTCCTATCTCATAAACCATAAAAAGTGCTTTGTAGGACTTTTGAAAGTACTATATAAGCTTCATGAGATAGAATAATAATATTAAGTGCCTTGAAAGTATCGAAAAGTACTTTCTATACTTTATATCATGGAAAAGTTCTGTTCCAAGTGAAAAAGTATCAGAAAGCATTTTAAAAGGTGAAATATAGTAGAAAAAGTTACTTTATTTTACTTTATTTATATTAAAAGTACTTAACCCTTTGGAAACAGGGTTGCTGTAGCAAAAAAAATGAAATTTTTTGAAATACTGAACAATGCATTTGTTTACAAATCTAGGACATGAATGTCGAGTATGAATGTCAGGTGTGGACGTTAATGTGGGGTAGGTTCGGGTTTTGATGTGGATATGGGTGTGTTGGGACAGTATTGTGGCTCTGGATGTGACTGCAAGCAGAAGAACATCCACATTTCACAACCGCAGCTGCATCGGAAATGATAAATCTATGTTCTAGACTGTCATATCCGCTTATTCAAAAGAAACCCTTATAAATAATATAAAATTTACTAAAAATTTGACATTTACTGAAGATGGCTCAATCCATATCGATTATTGTTTTCAATTTGTTGCTGATTTACATATTTTTCGATTTAAAGAAAATGAAAATATCCAAATAGGTATTAAATATTCATCATGTAATTATTACTGGTCGTGGTTCATCAATATTCATTCAAGATGAAAAAATGTTTAAGGAGATCCCCTTTCCGGACCCAAAATTTTCAAATTTTTCATTTTTTGTTTTTTCTGCTCTACATGTGTTTTCAAGTGCCCTCTATCTACTGGTAACGTTTTGACAACTCAAATATAGCTCTAAAGCAAAAATAAAATCGAAAAGATAAATCGATTGCCGTAGGGATATAGTACGATTTTTTCTTCCCTTCGCGGTTTTCTAGAAACCAGATTTTTCAGCAAAAATCTACAGAATTGCCCCCGTTTCTCAGGAACAGTAAATCCGATCGAGCTGAAATTTTTCTACAGATAGTAGAAACACTTTAGGGAACCTACTTTGTTTTGTTTTGAAAAATATTGTACCGTTGAGTTTTGGCAGGCCTTACAAGACAAGCACTATTCAAAAAAATATGGGTTTTTTAGGGTGCTCTTGGTATTTTGGCTTTTTTATTCGAACGATAAGTGATAGAAAGAAACCAAAAAAAGTAGGCCTCCTAAAGTGTCTCTACTATCTGTAGAAAAAATTTCAGCCCAATCGGATTTACTGTGCCTGAGAAACGGGGGCGATTTGGGGGTCGATTTTTAGCCATTGCAACCTCAATATTTCCTAGAAAGAAGCATTTGGGAATTTTGAGTCTATGACAACTTTTACTCTACACATCGAGATCTATCAGCTGTGAAAGTTTCAAATTTTTCTGATGAGCCGTTCTCGAGAAACCCCGGAAAGGGGGAGGGGGGTGTCCCCTTAAAAATATTACTATTGATAAAATTATTTAAATACAAATCGTCTAGGAAAATTTAAAATAGAAATTCCAGTAGGAAAATAGGAACTTAGTTCGGCTTATAATTATCGAAAAAAATGTTATTCAACATATTTAAGAA